TTATGTTTCCAATCAACTCAAAATGATTAAAACATCAAAGTTTAACACAAAATAACATGGAATTTAGTGGTTTTTAAAGTTTCAATCACTTATCACAAATAAAGATTGAATCTTTAACACTTAGGAAGCCTCAAAAATAAAACTTTCACACTAAAAAGCAATTAGTTTGCAATTATGTGAAAATAAATCAACCTTTAAGCATCAAATACTACCAAGTAAGTGTGCTTTAAGGGGACATAAAAATGCAGACAATAATGCAAATAATCAACCATATATTCAACAATTTATGCCATTAATTTCAAGGTTAGAAAAGACTTAAAAATTTTCGTCAAAAAATGAAAAACCCCTCGAAAAAGGCATTTCTGGTCAGAATTTGGCTAAAATCACAGACCCCTTGGGGATAAAAACCTTTCTAGAACACGTTTTCCACCCAAAATTCACTAGTCTTGGGTGAAAATCTGGGTTTTGGGCCAAAATCGACATTAAAACGGGATTAAAATAATAAAATCGAGCTACTAATCTAATTAGCAACTTAAACCAGAAAATTAAGCCAAAATAAACCTTGAAAAACATGATTATAAAAATAAACGAGCGGGGCTCCGATACCGCTGTTGGGGTTTGGTGAGTCCGACTCACCGCGGAAACAAACCCCGACCTGTGGAACCACTCGCAATAATTAAAATCATAAAGCATAAATAAATAATCACAAAGAAAAGATAACGAATCTTACCCTCGAAGCGAGCTTCGCCCAAAAGCCGGGGCTCTTATTTGAAAGCTACGAGCACGTCAAGCGTCGCGCCTCCGACGGTATCCACCCACAAAAGGCGAACACAACTTTAAGGTCCGCTACCTTGGGGTTAGCAAGGTTCGACCAAAACCCGAGTGTTATATGAGTTTAAGAGTTTTCCCAAAAATTATGGAATGCTCTTTTTAACTCCCACTCAAGCAAAGAATTCTCAAGCCATTCCATGACTATTTATAAGGAAGTATGCGTTGTGAATTTCACTCATCTTTCAATGTGGGACTTTTCACAAAAGGATCTCACATGGAAAGATTGGTGAATTCAACCCTTAGTTAAATAAACAAAGGAACAAGTAACAAGTGTCACATGGTTAGGTGTGGACCACTTTCTCACTTGGTCCCCAAGGCATTTCACATGCAATGTGAAATAACCATGTGTCACCCAACCTTGAGCCCCAAGTTGGGTTCGGTTGGCCCATTTTATTTTGGCCCGTGTCCATGACCCATCAACCCAGGTCCACGGCCATTTCCACATGTGTCGCCACCGTGGCGCGCCGCCACCGTGGCGCTGCCACGTGGCACGCTTCCACTTGGTGGCTGCCACTAGGTGGCTGCCAATGTGGCGACTGCCAACGTGGCTGCTGCCACTTGGCGGCTGCCAACGTGTGCTGCCATGTGGCATTTTGCCATGTGTGCTGCCACGTGGCATGCTCCTATTGGGCATGCATTCCTAGCCTTACTTGTTACTTGATGCATTTTTCCGTCTCGCCAAATCCTAAATTTTAGCTCGACATTTGAGATTCTCATACGCTCGGTTTCGACGCTCCAAGCTCGAATTTCCGACGTCTAAATGTTTAACACTCGGGCGACGAATTAATTTCTTCCGAATTAATTCGTCGAGTTGGTTCGTATATTTTGCTTGGGTGTGACCCGAAGGGTTCAGTCAAGATTAAGCTGTAATATTAATTATATTAATATTACTGATCGGAAGCGGCCTCCACCCAGGCATTCTGATCACTTGACCTTACTGAATATATTAGCTTTCTAATAATTCTGAACCCGCTATCTGAATAATACACTTGTTCGAAGGACACTATTCCTTTCAGAGAGATCGAGAAGGTGTTGTTGCGGTGGTGTTCGAAGAGAAAGAGAAGAGATTAAGGGAGAGCAGAGGAGAGATCGAGAAGGGAGAGCAGAGGAGAGAGTGAAAGAGGCGGACTGAGAGGAGAGAGAAGGAGCAAGGTAAGCTGTTAGGGTTTTAAGGAGAGATAAGGCCGGTTTTTTTTAATAATAAAAGGTCGGTTCACAAAGGCACCGGTTCAAACCGGTGGCCTTTATGATTTTGGCACCGGTTTGAAGTGAACCGGTGCCTTTTACTCCGGTTTACCTTCCCACCAATTTTGTAGGCCATTTTCTGCACCGGTTCGGACTAAACCGGTGCCAATTAGGGGGTGCCTTTTTGATATTTTCTACTAGTGTATCCTTCTTTGTCTTTCCAGGCGGACATGGCGCGTACGAGGCAAACGCATGACAAACATACTGCGTAACCCAGACGGCAGTTTGGTGACTCCTTTGGTCCCCTATGATCCGAACAGCACGGATCTTGAGAACCCTACCACAAACACCGCCATAAACACCACCATTAATACCTTGGCCACAGAAAGTGGCAGTGCTTGTTCTGTGGTCGAGGTGACCACTTCTTTTGAGGAGCGCCAAAACCAGAGGGGCACCTCTACTTCTAGACGGGAGCCGAACGTGACCCGAGCCCTTTTTACTAGCTCGGTCCTTGGAGCGGACGAGCTCCCTTCTTCACTGCCCCCGCCTTCCTCTGGAGCAAGGACATCTCCGTCTTTGCAATGTCAGCTACAGTCTCCTCTTGCGACTGTTGCTCAATTTGGCCGAAGTCGGCCACCATCTTACACGGTCGCTGGCCCTTCTACGGCCGCATGTCTTCCTCTTGCTCCCCCTTTTTCTCAAGCTCCTAGATCGGCTCGACCTAGGATAGGCATAGTGATTGCCGAACCTAGTGAGAACCCCCGACCCGCTCCATCTGAAAGTCGCAGTCCTGGGGTCGGTAAGGATCAAAAGGGAAAGGCCCCCTTGCCTGTCATTATATATATATATATAAAACAATGGGGGCTAGAAAAACCCTCCTAAAGGAAAACCATAGAGGGAACCAAAAAACCCTCCCAAAGAAAACCACTAAATATTATTTCATCTTGCCTAAATTACTCGTATCATTTATGTTATAAAGTCATTCTAAGTACGCTATAATATTATATTGTATATATATCGACAATATCGTATATCTTCTTCAAAATATATTTTGTATATTTTTTTAATTATTACCTCCGTTAATTATTATATATAATTTTGAATTTTTTATATTTCACAAATAATGCTCCAAAGTTGTACATAATAATCAACGAATTTGAGTATTTAGGGATCAGTTTAATTATTTTACCAAAAAAAAAAACCTTTCTCATGCCCCCCACAAAAAACCAGATGGTCCACTAAATATAATACCAGTAAAATAAAGTCCCGCTAATAACAACCACATAGTCAAGTGTTGTGAATTCAAGACCATACAGTATGAAAATATGATGTACTATTATTTTTTGAAGACATTTTTTTTTTGAAGGCAAGAAAATTTGATGTTTTAAAATACACATTTATCAGACAAATTTAACAATATCCCACTAAACAAAGTATAAATTCGGTGTTTGTTCAAAAAAACATAAAAATAAAAAGGGAAATTCTCTTTGGTGAACTCCAACTTTCTACTTTTCTAAGTGGTCAACATTTTTAAATTTTAATATCAATGGTAAACCTCACGTTTCGATAACCATGGATAAGTGTGATTTCACTAAAAAAAATCCTTAACTATAGTTAGTTTTTTTTTTATTTTTTAATAATTAAATTATTATAAAAATATTTTTATTAAAAAAAAAAAAACCAAACTCCTCCCCCACCCAACTTACCACCAGCCCAACAGCCCCTCCGGCGACCACCAGCCCCTCCTGCTAGTGGCCACCAGCCACTTCTCCCCCACCAACGCTAGTGCCCGCTCCACCTTCGTCGGTGCACCGGCCTTCGATCCTCCACCTCCTCTCTTACTCTCAATATTGAACCCCACCACATCCAATTTCCCTCACCGCCCCACTACCGACCACGAACCCACCCCAAACCACCCCGAAAAACCAGCGAACCTCCCCGTCGACCCTCTTCCCTAGTTTGCAATCCCTTAAAACCACCCCAAAACACCAAGATATACCCAAACCCGTTTGGGTTTCGAAACCAGACCCAAACGGGTTTCGATTTTCTGGTGGAATTGGGTGGGTTTCTGGTGGTTAAAACCCAAATCCGACCCCTTTCCCACCCTCAAAACCCTAGGCGACGAAGTTTTGAGGGTGGGGGAGGGCCTGATTCGAAGTTCAAAGTGGTTGGGGGAGGGTTTTTTTTACGGGTTTCGGGTTGGGGATTTGTGGGGTTTTGGTTTGGGTTTTCTGGTGGTTTTAGGTAGGGGAGGGGGAGGCTATGTCGTTAGTCGGGGTGGGGAAGGGAGGGCGTCTCCGACCGGGAGGTGGGCGCCTGGACGCCGGTCAAGGAGTGGGCTGTCGCCGGTGGTTAGGGGGTCTGGGAGGAGCTTGGGTTTTTATTTTTTTTAAAAAAATAATAACTTATTTGAGCTAACCATGGTTAAGGAATCAATTAATTATATCATTAGTGTTACCAATGATTTATTAAAGATAACTAGGGTTTACCATTGATAATAAATTTTAAGAATGTTTACCACTTAAAAATTTATAAACTTGGAGTTCACCAAAGAGAATTTCCCTAAAAAAGTGAAAATTCGGTGAATGTTAAGTCAAATCAGAAACTTCAGAAATATTTAAAATAGACCAAAATTAATCTTATGCTGCTTGCTAGTGTTTAGCATGATTTATTAGGTGTTTGGCTAAAAGGTTTATAAACTATGCTCTCTCTATGTAGGGAATTGAATGAGACGAGAAATGGGAAGATTCTCGCCTGGAGATTAGTGAAATGAATGTGGTTGCAAAGAATGCAAACCATATTTTTCTAAAAAACAAAAAAAAAATGCAAACCATATGGGTAGGTCGTAGTCAGGTAGACACATCTCCATTTCATATTATTTGCAACGATTAGATATTTTTTCCCCTCTATTTTATGTTAAATTCTTGCAAATAATATGAAACGGATGTAGTATATGTTACATGCCAAGTTGCCAACTAAAATACTTTTCGCCCAAACGACAAAAGAACAAGGTGAAACATTAAGTGTTGCTTTTTTCTAATGGAGATAGGATTATGATCTATGTACAATCATCTAAAGTTACATTGTAAATTTCTAAGGAATAAATTACAACTATAACAATATCCGAACACTGGTCTTTGAATTTAGGAAGGCCAAGAAGAATTAACCTAGTTTGCACATCAAGAAAAAAAATCGTGACAAATATAGGCTTTTGATGTATGGCCGTATGGGAACCATAAAGGGTTGTGATAAAGACGGGTTTTAATCGGAAGTCTTTAGCACCACCCCAAATCCTTAACCAACTATCGAGCAAAATTCTGTCTTTTTTCCATGTGCTATCAACTCATTGAATTCTTCATCAGTAGCCTTGAGCATAGTTGATAAAGGAATCTTTAATCCACTCTCTAAAACCTCCAAATGTCTCGGCTTAATCCTCTTCTCCAAACTAAAAGCAAAATATTGCGGAAATTCCTTCAATTCCTCCAAATTATCCTTCATTTCTTCAAGAAAATACTCAATCTTAGGATTATAATTATTCTCAATACTAAAAGTAAACAAAGCAGGACACCTTAAAACCATACTAACAGCTTCTTTTCTACTAAAACCCAACTCAATCAAATACTCGAGTTTCGGTATCAATGTATTCTCAACATTTGATACCAACAAGATTGGATCATTATAAGCTAACCCCTCAAAATTTTTAAACCCAAGTCTTCTAAGATAAGAAAGAGCAGGTTTCAGTTGATCATTAACACTTGAAACTAATAGTCTTGGACATTTATTGATCACTTTTCGAAAGTTATGATCAGGAACTCCAAGATCAAAAGATAGAAAATTGAAAACAGGGTTGAGATCTGTTTTTATGTTGGAGGTAAGAATCAAAGGGCACATCCCAAAAATTTTGGGCAAGTCCTTTTGTTGGATCCCTTTAGATTGAAGGTATAATATAATGGCATGAATCGAGTCGAGAGAAGTCGAGTGGAGGGACGGGTTAAGAGCGAGCGCCTTACCGGAATCGATACCGAGGATTTCAAGGCAGAGGATTTTTTCTTTGAATTGGAGGGAGATATTGGGATGAGTTTGGGTGTAAAGTGGGTTATTAACAAGAATGCTTTTGGATTTTGGGGTTAATTGATCAAAATTTGGATTTGAAGGTGGGATCAATGGAGGTGATAAACAAAGAGAAGAATGAAGGGCAGATGCAATTGCTTTCATTATGATAGAATTTGGAAGAAGAAAGTTGGTTGGATGAAAAATGGAGCGAAGAATGAAGAAATGGATGTAAAATAAACAATGGTGGTCATTGGTGGTTGTTGTTTCTTATCTTTGAGTTTCATTTAGAAATGGTGACATGGCTTTTTTGTGGATGTGTTATTGGTTGGTGGAAGATCATTTTAAGATCAAGTGTATGTGGCTAAGTGGGGCATATTTATAAACTTTGCATTTTAGTAAACCATTTAGTTCGGTTTTTTTTTTTTTATTATTATTATTTTTTTTATTCTCTCCTTTGTTTCATAGAAATTGACATCATTTAACTTTTTTCACTTTTTATATACTCTTTTTAATTTATAATAATTGTAACTGGTTGTTACAGTTTTAGGATTTATAGCATATGGACCAAAGAGAAAATTTCATAATATGAAGTATAGTTAATAGGGATATTTGATTATTTATAGAAAAGATAAATAATAATTATAATAAAAAAAAAAGTATGGTAAGTGGGGTTGAAACGAAAGTAGAAAAAAAAAAGAATAGTGAGTCCTTAAACGGATGTCTAAAAGAAAAGCGATGCGATTATTTCGAAACATAAGAAGTTCGACAGTAAATTTAAGTGAATTATTGAAACCATGTGTTGTAATGTATTAGCAAACTGTTATTAGACACAAAGTAGCTTTTAATATAAAGTTTTATAATATTTGTCTTCTCTTTTTTTTTTTTTTTTGGTTTACTACTTTCTCTCTATTTCTTTTACTTGCAAGAGTTGCAACAAAGTCTCATGACACATATACAGTGATTAAAAATTATAAATGGATAAATTAATCACATGTCATCTTCTGATTAAAAATATTAATGCCGAAAGTTTTTTTTATAAGCTTTTTAGTGAATATTAAATATTATGCATAGCATTTCACTTTCTATTTGGTCATTATATTTCATTTTTACATATTCAACAAAAATATTATTCTTCTATTTAAAACTATGCAATACTTTCATCTTATTTTGTAATTAGATGTATATTTTTATATTTAAATATGACAAACTTTAAAAAATCAGATGTACAATAATATATTGTACATCCGTTATAAAGTTACCCTAAAATGAGCAAACGTTACCCCCGAAATGAATAAAAGTTACCTCAATATGCATAAAAGTAACTCAATACAAATAAAATTTATCTACGCTTTATTAGTAAAGAATCACATTTTAAATGATTAAAAATCAATTATTAGTGGTTGAACGTAATTAAATTATCTTTATAAACTTTTCTTGTTGTCTATGTATATAAAAATTGTTTTATGTTTAAAGTTACCCAAAAAAAGGCAAAAAATTATCCTAAAATTAGCTAAAAGTTACCTTTATACTACTCGATGTACACTAATATTTGTGTAAAACAGGTATATACAAAAGTTTTTCTTTAAAAAAAAGCAAAAATTGATTCTAATATTCTCACCTTTTGACGGTTTATTATCTAATAATCCCACATTTGGTTTATTATTTAATAATCCTACCTTTGGTTTATTATTTAATAATCCCATGCCACGTGTCATTTTATAATTGGTTGAAAATAAAAAAAAAATAAAAAAACTAAAAAAAAAAAAAAGAAAAATACCCACCAGCCACCCCACCCACCGTGAAACCCCAACTCTCACCCTAGCCGCCACCCTAAACCCTTGAAAACGGCCGGCCAGAACCCCTCAATCCCATCCAGTCGGCTATAAGGCACCTCCGAAATCACCCCAATCCAAATTAAATCCCAACCCCGAAACCACTATAACCACCACCTTGAAAAACGCCAAAAGCCGCCGAATACGTCCTCTAACACCGCCAAAAACCGTCGAGACTAACCGCCGAAACTCCTACCTAAGCCATCCCTTCTGCTCGATCTTGAAGATTTTTTTTTTTTTTAATTTTCTTAATTCATTGAAATTAAGGGTTAGGTTTGCTACGTGGGGGTGGGAATAGGGGTTCCGGTGTTCAGGCGGTGGGGTTGTGGGTTCCGGCGGTGGGGTTGGGTGTTCCAGCGATGGGGATGGGGAGGAGGGGCTGTCGGAGTTTGGTGGTCAAGGTAGTCGTTGGGGTTTGGCTGAACATTCTTTTTTCTTTTTTTTAATCATTTTGATTAGAATTTTATTTAAAATGTTTTTTTTATTTTTTTACCAATTATTTAGTGACATGTGTTACTGAATTTTTTTTAATTTCTTTTTTACCTAATGTAATAAGGGACCAATAGAAGAAGATCCCCTACAAAGGTGGGATTATTAAATAATAATCCAAAGGTAAGATTATTAATAGTCAACTAGCAAAAGGTGGGATTATTAGAATCAATTTTTCCTAAAAAAATTATAAACTAATCATTAATAACATAAGAACATGTACAACGGTGAGTCAGTACCCTCCTCAGAACTATCTCTCACTTTTTTTGAGTTAGCTTACCATTGAAATATCTGACTCATTACTTACTCACAGTATGAGGTAGCAACATCTGAAGCGGCACTGAGTATGAGCGTGAGTTGCTGACTTTCTAAACCAAAGAATCTGATTTTTTTTAGGTCCAATTATCACATGACACTTGTCATGAATATTGCAAGTTGTGTTTGATGTTTGCTATTTGTGTTTGATGTTTGCTATAGAATGCAACGACTATTTTTATTTTTAACAGTTAGTATTGCTATAATGCTCCAACGGTAGTTTCTCACTTCATTTAAACATATTTCCAAAAAATAATTTCACCAACGGTATAATTATAATTTTATCTATAAATAGAGCCTAATATTGATATAGTTTCTCACCCTTAAAATTTCACTCTTCTTTTTTTCATTATAAAAATAATCTGTGATTATGGATCTTAATAATCCTAATTACGGAAGTGGTTCCTCTCAAAATAATCCAAAAATAATCCTAATTATGGATACTGAACGGCTCCTCCGTGAAAGTTATGCTCGTGGATTTCCTGGTATGATGGGCAGCATTGATTGCATGCATTGGGAGTGGAAAAATTGTCCGCGTGCATGGAAAGGAATGTATCAAGGTAGAAGTAAAATAGCAACGGTGATCTTGGAGGTTGTTGCTTCGCAAGACTTGTGGATATGGCACGCTTTTTTTGGAACCCCGGGTTCTTGTAATGATATAAATGTCCTCCAACGGTCACCGGTGTTCTCTGATATATGTGAGGGAAAAGCTCCAGAGGTTACCTTCAATGTCAACGGAAATACATACAATATGGGTTACTATCTTACAGACGGTATCTATCCGAAATGGGCAACATTTATCCCAGCAATCAAACATCCACAAACTGGTAAGCACAAATTATTTACCAAGAAGCAAGAGAGTTATCGAAAGGACGTTGAACGTGCCTTTGGAGTGTTACAAGCTCGATTTGCAATAATATGTCAACCAAGTCTAGCATGGTCGACCGAAATTTTATGGAAAATTGTAATGGCTTGTATTATCATGCACAATATGATTGTTGAAGATGAGCGAGATGGATATTTGCATTATGATGCAACTGAATTTATCAATGACCAACCCCAAAATGTAGCTGAATCATCAACTAGTAACAACAACCAACCATTTACTGTGAGAAGTGGACGATTGGATAGGCTCAATCTAAATGGTTATATGGAAAATAGAAATAATGTTCGTGATAGGGAGACCCATATTGCACTAAAGAATGACTTGGTTGAACATATATGGGGACGTTTCGGCAACGAATGAAGAGATGACAAAAGTCGCTGTTAATGAATATTGTATTTTAAATTTTAATGGATGTCTTTGCTAAATAAACTATGTTATTTATATATTGTATTATTTTTGTACTTTTTATTTCAAAAATTAGAAAAAAAAATTGTTTCAATTTACATACATAAGTGATTATTAATATTGTACTATTTATAATGACTATTAATATTGCACTAAAGAATGTCTAACTTTTTTTAATTAATTATGTAAGTTCAAAAATTACAAATAAATAATAGAGATTAAAACATGTTTTAAAAAATATAAAATAAAACAAGAGTGAGAAAGAGAAAATGATGGGGTAGTTAGGAGAGAGAATGGTGAGTAACCTCACCATTGTAGATAAATAAATAAGGTGACTCACACTAGTAGCTTATGATAGTGGAAGGTGAGGTGGAAGATGATTTGGAAAAAAAATATATAAAAAAGATAGTTGAAAGTGAGGTGGATAATGGTGAGTAACCTCACCAATGCTTATGCTCTAATACTAAAACAAACATTAAGAGTGACACGTGTCACTTCCTGGTTTTGTGTTTTCCCTCCAAAATCACCCTTTTTTTTTTTTTTTTTTTTTTTTTTTTTTTTTTTCTATTCATCAAATCTCCTTCAAAATATATTTACCATGTATAATTATAATTAAATCTTCCTATTTGAACGCCATATATTTTTCAAACAATAAAAATGATTCACGCCATTTATATTATAGCAAATATCTAAATATATCACCAAAATATTATTCCTTAACATAATTTTTTCTATATTATATTTTCAAATCAATAATTATTATATTGCCTCCGTGTCTTTTTAGTTATGACTAAGAAATTTTTATGTTTCACAATTAAATACCCTTTTATTAATAGGCATCGGTTCAAACTCCCCATAACCCACCGGTTTTGAACCGCTGAGTTTGGGGGGGGGGGGACAATACTCCACTAAAAAAGCCATCAGTTTAAAACCGGTGGCAAAAACAAGTATTGTCACCGGTTAACCGGTGGCAATGTTGCAAACCGCCAATTTTTTTAAAAATATGTAACATAAATGCCACCGGTTAACCGGTGGCAATAACATGTATACAATTTTTTTTTTTTGTTTTGTCTTTTCACTTTAAATATAATCGACCATGCAATTAACCAAAAAAAAATTTCAACATCAAAATATAAATCAAACTATTTCAATCATTATAATCGATTAATTACAACATTAATCAAAAATAAAATTACATTACAAATCAATATAATCGAACAATTACAACGGTATAATAAAAAAAAATACAATATAAATCAAAAAAAAAAATTACAATATCAAAATGAAAAAACCCCATACAACATCTTGATTCTTCGATTCATATTCCTGTTCTTGAAATATACCTGCATCAATTAAAACAAAAAATTAATAAAACTGACGAACCTAGAAATCCCCAAAAAAAAACCTAAAAAACCAGAAAAATGAAAATAAATTTTTTTAAAAGAAACCCCAAAAACGCATGCATTAACCGAAAAAAAAAAACGATTATTTTAACCGAAAATTAACCCAGAAAAATCAAATTAAAATCCGAAAATCAATTTAAATCGATTAATGAAACCCAGAAAAATTAAATTAAAATCCAAAAACCGATTTAAATCAATTAATTAAACCCAAAACTTGGTTAACTAAACCCAGAAAAAAACCCTGAAAACTCAAAATAAAATAACCCCCAAAAAACACATGCATGTACCCAGAAAAATCAATTAATTAAACCCAAAATCAAACCCAGAAAAATTAAACCCACCTCGATTAAAGTCGGTGTTGTTCGTGGTCTTCATGGTGGTCTTGGATGTTGGTCTTGGTGGTGATCTTCGGTGGTGTTCGAAGTGGTGGAAACGAAAGGGAGGGGGACGAGAATCGGGAAGACAAAAGAGAAAGAGAGAGAAGAGCAAAGCGAGGGGAGAGAGGACAGAGACGGCGGTGGTAGACTTGGTGGTGGTGAGATGAAAGGGCAGTAGATCTAGAGAGAGAAGGAGAGAGAGGAGAGGAGATTAGGAGTATATGAGGGTTTTTTTTTTAAATAGGAAATGTCACCGATTCGGTTCAAACCGGTGGGAATAATGGTTTTCTCCACCGGTTCAGTTTGAACCGGTGGAAAAAACCTCTCCTTAAAAACCCGCCCATTTTTCCCCATATTTTCCCCACCGGTTTTAAAGAATTGGTGGCCTTAAGGCGGTGTCATTCTTCTTTATTCACCTAGTGTATTAAAAGTGAAACTAGGATTTACATGTGTCATTTTATGATTAAAAAGTTTTTCTCCATTATCTTTTTTGTAAAATATGAAGAAAATAATTTAGAACATATAATATATTCTTTCCAATTGGACAGTAATATTTTTTTTCCATATACACTTAACAAACTGGAATATTTTTACACATCTTCAAATATTTTATTTTATTTATTTTCTTTGCAAAAATGAACAAAGATTAGTAAATACTGAATTAATACTCTTACCTAAAATATTATTATCATTTTAACCTTGCCATTGGTATAAGTATAAAAATAATGGTGTACGATTATTGTTGAATTTGTAATGCAATTTTGTCACTATATACTTCATAAAATTTAGTAACGAGGATAATTATGAAAATTATAGTGCACACATGGCATGAGACCTAAACTAGCTAAATATGTTATTACTTGTTCCATTTCCCCGAACACGAAGTTTTAAGATAATAGGAAAAAGTATAATTTTATGATGGAAGTGAGTTCGGTTGAAGAATAAAAAAAAATCTTAAAAAGTAAAGGTGAGTACAAGGGGAGAAAAGAGAATATAAAAAAATAAATATATTAAAATATAATATAAGAGTTAAATTAATGGGGAAAATACTAAAATAGTAAAATATTGTTAAAATTTTCTTAAAAAAATAGAACAAGTAATACTTCCTCCGTTCTATTAATATTGCAACAAGGAGGAAATTACTCATCCCGAAACACCTTTTATATGCTAAATATCTATAATTGTGTAAGAGTAAAAATTATAAAAAGTTGATATTGTGAAAGTATTTTATGAGACGAATCCAACAAGATCCCACTTGACTATATTTTGCTTAACGTATAACTCATATTATATGGTCAAACAAGAGTGATGAATAATGCAAAAAGTTCATTGTTGCAATATTAATAAAACGGAGGAAGTACAATACAAAGGAAAGTAGAGGAAGTAATATATTATAGATGGAATACCATTCAGTTTTATGAAAATGTCACAACATGCCATTTTTGTTAACTGAGATAGTCATTAACGTTAATTGTGCCACATGGCAACTTGTAATTAGTTCTTATTAATATTATTTATTTAATTAATTAACTTTAGAAAAATTATTTTAAAAATAACACCACCAACTTAGCCACCGCCAGCCCAACCCCAACCCCCACCTTGGCTGCCAGTGCCTAGTCTACTTCTCGGCTAGCTAGCGACCATACACCCCTCCCCTTCTTGCGGCAACCCCGACCAACAACCACCTTACCGAAAACCCAACCACCACCATAGCCAAATTCCCCCATCACCACCTTAGCCGAATTCCCTCCTCCCTCCGCCTCGAACCCAAAAACCCCTCCTTGCCTTTCCACCTTACCCAAGAACCTAGGCACCACCCCAAAACCTCATCACTGCCCCCCAAATTGTCGAAAACAACCACGAATTCCCACACCAACAACCTGAAAATCGAAAACTTAAAACCCCAAAATCAAATATTTTGATTTTGGGGTTTTAGGGTTTTAAGATGGTGGTTCTAGGGGGAAAGAGGGTGGAGATGATAGGGTGAGGGGCAAATTGGGTTTGCCGGCACGAGGGAGGGGTTTGGGCATCGCGGTTTATGCGTCGGTGGTTAGGGAGCGAGAGTTTTTTATGAGTCACTGATAAACTTGAGTTGATTTGAAATTTTGAGAATTTTGGGGTATTTTTTCATTTGGTATGGATTCATTATGATGTAGCCTGGCATGGTGAAGTTGAATCGGGGGGAAGAAGTGGTGGTGGGTAGTGCGATGAGACAACTCAGACAAGTGTTCGGTGCAATTTTTTTTCCTAATTTATTTTCGCTGAAATCGAGTATCTGGTTAGGAATTGTTACCCACCAGTTCTAGAAAAATAGGACTTGATATAATTGGAACCGGGACCAGTTCCAAATTTCAGGACCCGGTTGTGATTGGATCCAGTTCCAGGTCCGAGATATTTGACTGGGTACCCGATCTTGCTCACCCCTATTGCCACGTAACCTTATTAGCCTTAATGACTAGCAGTGTTAACGTCCATTAATCATTAATGACATGTTGTATGATTAAAAATTCATATACAAAATTATTATACTCATAGACGATTATACACATACACTATACACATTCACCAAGACCCTAAGGTCCGTAATATATAGTACATACTTCATCCATTTTTTTTTAATTCGAACTGTTTTTTACAATTTTTTATTTATTTTTTATTTTTTTATGTTTAGAGATCCACAAGGACGGGGGGTGAGAATTGATCCTAGGATATCATGGAACCGGGAGGGAAGCTCTAACTACTTGAGCTATCCTTCACTCTCACTATTTTTTACATTTGTCCATGCATAACTTCAAAGGTAATTTATTTATTTATTTATTTATTTTTTTTTTTGCAAACTCCCACAGGGCAACTACCGTTCATTCATAGGACTATCAAAATTCAGAAGAGGTAGAATGCAAGCTGAAAAATCCGACACCCAAAGACGTCTACCTACAGATCACGGACTCATATGAGCTAGTTCGTGTGCATTGTAAAAATGTTGAGTAATATAATAATGTCCTTACGAAATACGAAGTATCTGTTTTCTACATTAACCCAACCCAAGTGAAAAATGGAAGTAAGGCATTCTTTTTAGGAGCAGAGAGAATTTAGTAGGAAAGGATGATGTACACTCAATGATGTCAAATGCCTTGATTGTGAGGCCTCATTTTTCTATGGTAAGAGAGAATGTGCAAATTATACAGATCCTATAGGCAATGTTAGCAATCTCAAACATTCAAGTTCCACAACTCTATTGTTGTACAACAACCTTCACTCACTTTAGCCCACCCACACACCAGAAAAATATATATATATATATTAAAAAAAAAAAAAAAAAAAATCCCAAGAAAGCCTACCCCCTTATGTCTACAAGGCAATGAAGCAATGAGATCATCTGTGCTCATACCAGCATCAACATCATAATCCTTTTCACTTAGTATGAAATTTAGAATGGCGGTCGGCGCCTGTCAAAAAATAAGAAAAAGGCATCAGAATTTGGACAAAGCAAGGCCACAGTATATTGTGGAAGATGGAAAACGGCTAAATTATGTTTTCCCTGACTTAACATTCCCTACAGGGCTACAAATTACTCTAATATACATTAAATAATAATTATAATTAAAATAATACCACGAAGTAGGAATTAGCTTTTTTCCTCCTCCTCCTTGATCTGTTCTCCCGTCTTCCAGATAATGTCTTTCAGCCCAGTAGAAAGGCTCTTGTAAAACTAGAATTATTAGATTAGAGTCAATGCAAATGATACCGAGGCATGAAATCAAACCCAAAAACAAAAAAAAAAACAAAGAAAACACACACACACACACACACAACTATGAAGAAACACATAACTGTAGCAAACAAAAAATGGTTGCAACTACTGTGAGTTGGTTAATAATGCTGAAGATAAGGTCAAGTCCTTTTCATAGTAGTGCCATATGGATTCTTAGTGCTAGTTTTGTTGCTCTTCTTTGACATAGGCAATAAAATTTATAAGAATTACCTACATCCCTTGTTTGGTTAACATGATAATTGCAAAATGGAAGAATTGCAACTTCCTAACTCCTAAGAATTTTGAGTTTCCATATATTATGAGCAGTTAATTACCTAACTCTCCCTTGGTTACATAAATTCACACGAAATGCAAATTCCCTTTCCCTTATGTCAACCAAACAAGTATAACAAATTCCTAGGTAATATAAGATGTTAATTCCTATAAATGTAAACGGAAAATGTTTGGGCGACCCTAAGGGTTGCAAACCCTCCTAGACACAATAGAAAAAAATAATAATAATATATGGGTAAAGGCTACATGAGGAAATACTAAAGTAGGTTTGATATGCATTTGCAAATGCATAACAAATACTGCATCTGTTTCATATTATTTGCAACGATTTAACATAAAGTAGAGAGTAAAAATGTTTAATTGTTGCAAATAATATGAAACAGAGGTAGTACTAAAATATTGAAAAACACATGGGGGTGAAAAAAAGGAAGAGAGAGATGATTAAGTGAGACCACTTTTAAATATACCACTGAAAGCTTATATAATACCATTGACTATGTAGTGATACAATTTAAACAGATTGGAGTTGAACTAAACTAAAGTAAACTGAATAGAGCTTAAATGAATATTTTATGAGATTAGAAAATTAAAAACTAATTGAACTGAATTGATTGCAGCTAAGCTGAGCTGAAATGAAATTAAGCTGACGAGAACATGCCCTAAGTACCACTTAATGAATATATAGTATCACTACATACATACATAGTACAAGTTGAATGTTCAATGGTACTATTTGATCATACAGTGATGCTATTGATCAGCTGATTTTTCATTGGTCAAGAATACATTGAAACGTTAATATTACGCTAATTCTCATTCTAATTTATTGCACATATATTATTATTAAGGGTTGGCAACCCTTAGGGTCACTCAAACATTTTCCAATGTAAACTCAAACATTATTATTAATTACCAATGCTATCAAACAAGCACTTACAATTCACACAATTTGCTAGAATTGCTCTAAGTCAACAACAAAAGTGCACAATTACTTGAGATCTGCCCAAGAACATAGAGCTATCGCCTATGAGTTGCTGCTATTTGTGTTGGTATAAGAAAAGACTCATGCTTATTATCAGGGGAAAAAAGGCTCATATTTCCAAAGATTTAAATTTCTTACAATTTAACAGTACAGTTAAAAGTAAAAATACTTTAACAGACATACCTTGTGAAACTCCAGCGTGTCCCCACGAGACTTACGAAGTTCCACCATATATAGAGAAGGAGCCACTTCCAAAATCTGAACAAAGACAATAAAAGTGCTAAGATGCAGTGATAACACATAGCTAGATATTAATGTTCTATAACTCTAAAAAAACATGGCACTTCTACTGTTCC